TTTGTACTCTTAGCACAGTCAGCAATCGGAGTCGTTGACTGAGAATAGAATGGTGCCCGCATATATGCTGGCAAAGTCAAACGTTGTGGCTGGTTGTTGTGTGTGCATTTCAAATGGAATCAATTATTTTATTGTGTGTGATTTGCTGCTGCAATTCAATTCGATTGCCGTAAGTCAACAGACGGAAGTCGGCGCCAGAAGCCAGAAGCAGCACAGCCAACGACTCATCTCTAGTCTCATATGTTATGCAAGGACAGGCCTTTTGATTTGGCAGCGTCTGTGACTGCTGCCAATTGACTCGTCAGTTGGCAAGAGCTACTTCCACAGCCTGTGAGGATGGGCTACACCCGCACCTTTAGCTATGCAAACAGCTCACAGCCAAACTCAACTCGGCTTGGCTTGGCTTGGCTTGGCTCGAGTTGTGTGCGTGCGGCTCTAATGGAAATCCAATTGAATTAAGTTAATTATGTTGGCAAATATTTAAACAATAGCAGCAATTTATGCACACCACACACCCCCTCACACACACACACAAACACACACACACCCAACCACTATCAGCTTTAAAGTTTAAACTATGAGCTGCAGTTGTCATTTAGTTTAATTCAATTTGCATGCACGACTCGCGGCCATTATTAGCATATCATTTGCAACTGTTGTGCAACAGTTGTGTGCCGACTACGTGCTGCCAACAGCTGAAATATGCATGAGAACTCTCACGTTGAGTTCATTATGGCAACAAGTGTCGAAATGTGTCGAAATATTGCAAATAAAGTTGACACATTTGCATACCTAATAAAATTTTCCATGCACATGTGGAAAGTTACGATTGCAACAACGGGGCGCCACCACGTTCGAGCACCATGCGGCGCAGCCTTTTCCCACCGCATTCAGTGGCAGGCATGAAAGTGGCATGCCTACGTATGTGTGTGTGAGTGTGTAAATGCACTTGCCACTTCAACGCTGGATTCGTGCACGCCAATTTTATTCATATGTGCAAAAAAAAACCAACGTTAAATAAAATTTATGACAATTTTATATTGATGTCTGACGCGGCTGTCTCCAGAGCATTATTGATCACATACATATATGGAGCATGGTGAGTATTTAAAAATTTTGGAATATTATTTGAATTTGACTTTAACATAAATTATTAAAAATTAGTTATTTATTAATTATAATATATATTGGCAGGTATATGTCAAATATGCTTTGCAATGGCTTCCACCTTTGCCACTTTCGAAACTTTAACTTGTTGGGAATTTTAAGCACTTTATTTAATCTTTAGTTTAGTTTAAGCTTTAAGCTTTAGAGAAAACTCGATTGATATCGATTCAACAACTTTTAACGATAATAATAAGTTAATCAGCTTCATTCAAGCCTGGGAGCCCATTTCAGTAATATATATCATATTGAAACTTTATCGAAATTTGTACTTCTAGCTACAAATTTCAGTATATATATTTGACAAGTCTTTTAGTAACTCTCGCAGCTCGTGAGTGCTTGTATCTGTTTGTCGCATTAACAGCGCAAATGTGCATAATGTGACATTGGCTATTAGCGACTGAAAGCAACTCGTCAACTTTGGGCGATGTCAGTAATCAATTTGCATTCAAAAAGCCAGACAGCAGACGGCAATAAAGAGAGTATAACTTCGGCAGGAACATGACATTTGACATTGGCAGCGACTGCAACTGTAGCTGAGGACTTGACAGGGCAAACTCTATAACAATATCAATAAAAAGTTGTTTGCAGTTGTTTTGTAGCAATTGCAAGAAATTGCAGGGAATTTGTAATTAAACTTTTCCACAATGCAGCCCACTGCTGCTGTCCGCAGTGTCTGGCAGCGACAACGCCAACGCCAGCGCCAACAAAAACAACAATCAAAATGCCTGGCAACAGGCAGCCAAACAAGAAAACAACAAACAAACAAACGCGGCATTGGTTAACGTTCGCCTCATTTGCTTGGCATAGCTTTAAATTTCCGGTTTCCGGTTTTAGGCGCTGCACCACACTGGTCGCTCGCTGCCACACACTGGTCGCCATTGGCGGCCATGTTTGTTTGTATTTAAGTCGGTTCCTGAGCAGCATTTTGCGGCATGCAACAGCACGCGGCTGTCATGTCAGGCGGCTCATGGCTGGCTCTGCTAGTTAGTTGACTTTTGGCTGACTGCTTAAGCGGAAATGACTTGAATGCTTTGCCAGGCACACACACGACACACGATCCACACCCACACCCACATACACACACTCACACTACACACGTGTGTCACACGTGGCGTATGCGGAATTTCGCACTCGATTGCCAGGCGCACCTTTGGGGCAGAAAGTTTTGTGTAACACGATTAGCGGTTTGCGTTTTGTTTGCCTCTGTGTCTGAGCCCCAAATGCCGCTTGCATATGCATAAGAGACAGCCAGCTGCAGCAAACAACACCTGCAACACACAACAACACACAACAACAACAACTGGAGCAACAACAAACTGTAATTGCAGTTTTAGATGCAGTCAAGTTTCGAAAAGTCATTAAAAACTTGTGCGCAACAACTTTAAATGCGAATTCTCGAAATTTTTGATTAAATCGCTTTCCGCAACTCGAAGATGTTGCGCCAAGACAATTAATGAAAAATGCATATAGCCTCACAAAATGGCAAATCAATGTTTATCGTGACATCAATTGCGAATTGACAGTCACCTACATATGCCAGAGACATACACATATGTACACTGAAAAAAAAAAAAACAAAAAAAACAAAACAATTAATCAAGTATTTAATACTTAAGCCATAGTCAGAAATATCAAAAATTTCAATTTACTTAAACGAAGTACTAACTTCTTGAAATAAGTTTCCGCTTTTAATTCGGGATTAATTTAAGATTTAATATTAGAGTGAAATGGGCAGCATGTTTTGATTGAATTTATCTTAAAACAAGCTATATTCGAGAACACTGAACTTAATTTAATTACATATTCATTAATTTACATGTTAATCAAGGCTTCCATACCTAGCTTGAGCATTATTAGATTTATTTGAAGATTTTTTTGAACCTAAAATAAGATTTTTGAGCTCAACCCAATCTTACACTTAATATTAGAAAAATCCATGGCAAAAATCTTAAGTAGGTTTTTGCCAAAAACGAACTGCAAATAACTTAAGTTATAACAATTTTTGTTAAGTGTACATATACGTACACAGCCGCACATTGTCACGTAAACATCGCGGCGCTGTTGTGGCTTGGTTGGAATTTGTATGCAAACCGCGCACTAAATTAGATTCTTTTTTACTGCATTGGCATCGCCTGTTGTTGATGACAAGGAGCCATCCAGGATGCGGATATACTTAGATTGACTCGCTGGCGTTGTCCTTGCAGCAACAGCAGCACGGACGATAAAATGCGTAAGCTCGTTAAAATTGCAGGCGTCGCTCCTTTTATAATACGAATAATGATCGAGCAATGGACGAGGGAGGTCGCCGCCTCAGCGGCTGGTATTGATTTGACTTTTGCGTGCTGCGCCTTGCGTAATGCATAGCGAAATGTTTGATATGGCCTCAGTCGGGGAAGGGTATCAATAACTCCCGCACCATCGTTCCATCTTCGAGTTGGGCTCGCGCATAAATTGTTGATGAGCGTGTGAAATGCCTGTTAAATGAGCTCTTAACGGCAAATTTGTGGCCTGTAAAACTTGTCTGGCAAAACAGATGCGTGTGACATGTAAATTTTTATGCTCTTACGAGTATCGTTAAAAGCAAAACTAATATCGTTAGTTTGTCTGCCTAGGTGCTCTATCTGGAGTGTCCAAATACTGAATACAGCAATTCAGGGCTCTAATCTAGAACAGAGCTTGCAAATAAAAGAAAAACCCTATTTCTTTAAATCATAATTTTCTGCTAGTATGTATGTAGAGAATCATGTATGTATGCTTGTGTATGTGTGAATGTATGCACTTATGTATGTATGTATGTATGTATTTATGCATGTTCATATATATACTAATGTATAATAATTACATAAGGACTTACTTTCCACTGCAAGTTCCCTTCTATGCGATTCTCAAGAATTCAAGTAGGTCGCACAGAATTCGCTTCTATAGTAAAGGAGGCGGTGACCCTAGTATAGGAGGAAGCAGCAGAGGAAGGCAGCTTGATTTAAGGAGGAGTCGGCAGCTTTAACTATATAGGAGGAAGCATCATGAGTAAAGGAGAAAGCAGCATCAAATATGAAGGCGATTTTTTCATGTTTCAAAAGACAACGACACTGGGTACGCCTTATAAATATAACTATATCTAATAATATTAAAAATAAAAGTAGCAAGTAGCCCCAGCAGCTATGTTAAAAAGTCGTTTGGCAAGTTGTATGCATGCATGCATGCAAATTTGTATACAAATATGTATGCATGCATGCATATATGTATGCATGTATATAAGTATATATGCATGAATGTATGTTTTCTTATACCAAATGTAGAGCATTTTTACTGTTCGTCTCGCTGCAAGTTAAGTTAGGGCCCTATTATGCGATCTTCATAGATTCAAGTAGTCGTAGTTTCTTGCTTTTGTAGCAAGTGCATTTTATATTAACAATTGGTGTTCGCAAGTTAGAAATCTTTAATTTTGTGTGTGCATAAATTAATCGCCTCTCAATATCTTTTGTTTTTACAGGAATGTGCATTTATAAAAGTCTCTCTCCTCTCTTCCACAAGCAGATGGAAATAAAATACTCCAGCATGTCAGTGTCAAGTTTCAGGTAAGTACATATTTTTAATCTATGTAAAATATATACTATACTTAGGCAATTCAGCCCATACTCTGACACGTTATAGTTGGGTTTTTAAAAATACAATTAATAGGACGGCTATTTGAATATGAGAACAATGAATTTAACTTTCTAAGAAAATGTTTTAAGCGTTCCGCAGAACATAATCAAAGACAAAAAAACCTTTTGCCCCACTATCTGTGACTCATTCCAAAATGCTTATCCACATCTTTACGAGGGCTGGGCTGTGTTGGCCCAAGGAACATAAATTAAATACACTCACATACAGACTCAGATACTCGTACTTATTATGCATTACCTAATGAAAAGTGGGCTGGCTGGGATCTGGGCAGCAGCAGGCACGGTTGGAACTCTCAGTGGGGCTGACAGGAGGCGAGGCGTAAGCAAATAATAAATAAATAAATAAACGAAAAGCGCAAATAACATTTGAGCGCCAGATTTAATTTCTAACGTTGAGTGCGCATATTAAAACAGGCAACAGGACGAGGCGTTGCTGCAGGGACGAAAGCCAAAGGCAATGTGGCTCCGGGCAACAAACAAAGATGATGCGGATATCACTGCGTCTGCTGTTGTTGGAAGTGCAACGGAAATGCGGGACTCCGGCCCCTAGTTGAGGGGTTGCGGGAGGATGAGTATGGAAGGCTGCTGGAAGCGTCGGCAGCGTGTGGGAAAACCCGAAGAGAAACAATAAAAGCGCGCGCGAGAGCCGGGCAAATGTTGGAGAAATTAAACACGCCAAGTGTTGGGCGTGGCGGAAGGCGTAATAGAAGTTAGCGCGGGTAAACAATGAATTACGGAATCATGAAAGCAAATTGACTTTAATGCAAAAATCAAATATTTACACAGCGCGAGAAAAACTGAAGCCAATGCAATTGTAATGCGGGGAAAGCATGCAGAGACAGCAGCCAGACAGTCAGACAGCCAGACAGCCAGATAAACAGACATACAGATGAAAGACAAACAAACACAAACAAAGCCTGCTCACACACACACACACACACATACAAATTGAGGTTATGTTAGACGTTGCTTTGGCCCCAAAAACTCGTTTCGGCACTTAAATGCCAATGCACACACACACACACACACACACACATCATTGCCGAGCTTAGATATGACGAAGGCAGGTTTGAGTGGTGGTTGATGATGGTAGGCAAGGGGGTTGGGCAGGGGCCGGTGGGGCAGCTTTTGTGCGCTGTTGGTCTGCGGCGTATCCGGTTTTTGAGTGTACGTTATTAGCCCGCTGCTGTGGCTGTCCGGCGTGTCTGGATTTTACGATTTCATTCATTTTTGTGGCTGCCATTTGACGCCACAAAATATGCAACAAAATTTTATTTCCAGAGCTCCGCACAGCTGCACTAGATAAATAAAAATAAAAACTATTATCTAATGTTCTGTAAAGCGAATGGCAAACATTTCAAATGCAGCCCTATGTAACTTGGCAATTTGTCTAAGAATTTTCGCAATTAGAAAACAAGCAAAGCTCTCGTCTAAAAGAAGAGCAAACAACAAAAAAAAAAAAACAGCAGAGAGATGATAGCTGTGGATGCATTGCACAAATCTGCAAAACCATAAAAGTGTCGCTTTCAATTGTGTGGCCAAAACCCAAAAGCGACAAACGACAATCGAAGCCAACAAGTGAAATTGAAACATTGCACGGCTACAAATTGATGATGAAGTGTGCTCGGGTGTCCTCTGGGATTTTTTTTTTTGTTTTTGACTTTTTATAGCCGCACGCAGAGGACATGGCGACTATGTTGAGTGCTTTGTGTTCTTGAACAACAAGGACTTTTATGTTCATTGCAAAGTTCATGGCAACTCTCAATGAAATATTAATCTTAAATTTTTATTTAGTCCTGTATATAAGATATGTGAAGCACGTTTTCTTATGTTCATTGCAAAGTTCATGGTAAATTTTGTTTCGAGTTTCTTCTTCCCAAGAACATTGCGCGTACTCCCATGAACTATCAATTATTCATATTGTTGAAAAAGATATAGCTTATTTTTAGAAGTTCATTGCAAAGCTCATGGCAGCTCATATTAATAATCTCAGGCTCCTTAAATAGTTCGTGACAAATATTGTTTCAAATTCCGTTTTCCCATATTCATTGCAATCTTCTTAGTAGCTCCTATTTTCAGTCGAGCTTTGTTTTTCATCTTCGTTGCAAAGTTACTCTCACTTCTTCGGTAGAGTATTCGTGCTTCGGCGTGCAGCATTCCTATTCGTCAACGTTACATATTTCTTTTTATTGCTTTGCGAGGCGATGATTGACACCTCGTCTGGCAATAAATTTTTAATTTTCAAAGCGCCGTGATAGACTACGGGCTGACTCTCTTATGGCCTGCCTGCCATCCAGCCAGGCTGCTTGACTGACGGACTGAGGACACGCTCTCGATGCGGAGCTTGTTAAATTCAAATTAGAGCCGTGCTCTTTCATAGAGTTGCCGCTGACAGCTAAGATAAATGACAGTGCGCTGTGCGATCGCAACAAATTAACCTTGTTAGGGGCTGCAGCCAGCAACAGTTACAAGTGTATGTAATTTTTTATCGTCTCACAAGCAGACACGCCCCCAGCCACACCGCCGCCTCAAGAAGCTGCAGCAACTTAGCCCACTGACTGACTGACTTATGAATGGCGTGTGGCAGTTGCGAGTGGGCGGGTCTCCGGCTCCGGCTCTGCTCGGCATCGATAAATCAGTTTGTATATCAAATTGAATTCACGAGCGTGCACTTGACACCAGCACACGCACATTTATCAGCCGCTGCCGCCTCCTTCTTATGGGTTGTTGCCTTCAACGAATGCAGTCGCAGTCGCCGTCGCAGTCTGCAGCAGAAACAAAGAAGAAGGCGGCAAATCTTTGGCATTTGCTGGCGCTTTAACTTGGGCATGAAAAGAAGCCACAAAATTTTAATTTCAGCTAAAAGCGAGGCAAAAATATCAGCGCTTTGCATTATAAATTATTCATTACATTGGGCGCAGCCACGCCCACAAACAGCAGCAGCAGCAGGAGCAGCCGCTGACGGCTGCTCGTTTGCACCTAATTTGATTTTTAGTTGTGTTGAATGGCTGCTGGCTTCCCGGACAGCAACCCGGACCCGTACCCGGTCCCGTCTCTGGTTACGGCCATCGCCCAGCGCTCCAGCTCTGGCTGCGCTGCGGTTTGCCCCGTGGCAATCTTTTTGTTGTTGCCACACAGCGAAAGCAACAAAAACATGTGGGAGCTCACGAGGATTGGCCACGCCTTCGCAGCGTTTTATTCCTTGCTTCTTTGGGCTTCATTCATTTCGACTCCGTCGAAAAAATGTCTGTTATGTGGCTGGCAGAATTTTGCAGTAATTAATGGCAACTGTTTGATTAAAAAATTCCATCGTCCGTATACATTCATATATGAACCGAACTGAGCTGAACTAAGCTGAACCGGGCAGAAGCCAAGTGTAGACCACATCAAATCTATGCAAATACCAGAAATCGCTAGTGCTTGGCAATTATTTCATAGAGAAGCGACATTTCTTTCGGTTTATATGCAACGTGTCGCTAAAGGATGTTGCGTGTTCATATATACCAGAATATCTAGATATGCATGCTCTGAAAAACATTGAATACCTTTTAAATGCATCTCTGAGAAAGAGATTAAGGCAAACTGAATGAAAACTTAAAAAGTTTCTAAAATAGTTCTCAAAGGAGTTTCTATCGACCGGAATTTATGTTTCATTTTATTACTCTTGATTCAGGTTCTTGATTGAATGAAATATTTTGAAATCTGAAAATTTGCCTGGAACTATATTTCAGAAGATAAAAAATTATTTATGCATAATGGCCAATAAAGCCGGACCTTCGAGGCGGGCAGCGTCCTTGGACTACGATGGGCTCGATAAAAGGAATTGGAAATTGATAGCTTCCCGCTGGGTTATCTTAATACTCGCTATCAGCTGTATTGTTAGTTACATAATATTTGTTTGTTGCCTTTAAATGGTAATTATCCAACCTTAGTATGCCAACATCAACGATATTATGTACTACAGCGGAATAATCAATCAGTACTCGCAAATTCCGGAATGTGGTTTTGTAAAATTTGAAATAATGGTGGTCGTGTCAGGTATCTTAATGCTAATCACCTTGACTGTAGGAGGTGCTTTGGTGCTCAAGCAGCAGCTACGTCAATTGCGCGCTGTGAGTGGAACCGATTGCAATTCTTTTGCTGCATAACAACAGTATGATATTTATGCAGTACCTTTGCAGTACCTTACGTTTCTGTTCATATTTAGCTGGATGCACTTGATGATAATCCTCGTGCTGACACAGCGTTATCCGCTTGTCCATGAGATCCACAGCAAGTGGATAAAGAGAGAAAGCATCAATATGTACGAGATCATGGTGAGTTGATGTACCTGAGACTATACAACGCCTCGCCAACTAGCGCCTCTTCAGTATAATTGCTGCGGCGTGTTCGGGCCGGATGATTATCTGCTCCTATATGGCAAATTGCCAAGCAGCTGCTTCAGCGATAGCACCATGGAGTCCAAGGATCTTTATTACACTGGCTGCCTAAATAAAAATGATATCGAGTCCACCATCGTACGCGGTGAGATGGTCACGTCATTGATACAGGTAAATGAAACGATAGCGATCGCAGTCAATACGATTATTTCTGAAGGTGTATCAATTGCAGTTCATTTTCTGCATTTTGCTGATGTGTTTCTATTTTTTTATCAAGCAAATCAAAGCGCCGCAGCGTAGTCTGCGCGACTTGTGGAAAGACCGCATCATACTCTAGATTTCGATTTTGTTTTTTTTTTTTTTTGTCGTGTCTCAAGCAACAAATTGAATTTGCATTTGCAAGACAAATTGGATGGCATTGAAATTGGCAATGGGCTGGGTATTGGCAGCCGGGCTTACACTTCTCATATTTCACCAACAGCTGCAATCAATAACGATAAACACTCGAGTGTCTGACCAAAGCGAAATGCTCGTCGGAGCCCTTGTCCGAGTGTCCGTTCTGCATATGCATGAGCCAATAAAGAAATCAACAAAGGCGAATCCCAACTATTGCAAATACCCAAACACCAGAACACACACAGTGGATATTCGAAACAATATGCCAAAGGAGAGAATGCAGCCAAGCGACTAAGCACATGTTCAAGGACAATCTCAATGCTCAGAGCTTGGATGTTTTCATTTTTATATGTATGTAAGTGCATATAAATTTTATTGTTGTCAACATTAAATCGAAAACAATTTTCAAGCATTGCGAAATGCATAAAATATGCATACAAAATGCCAAACAGAACGGCCAACTTTATGGCTAAATAGTTTGCTGCGGCCCAAGCAGTTAATACTTTTTTTATGCCCTTCCACAGCCCTTATCTGAGCCAGTGTCGACGATTTGGCAAAACTTTTCCGCCCCATAACCATAACAATAACAACAACACTTTGGTCAAGCTGCTGATGGGTCCCAGCGCAGAGTTTATGGCGGCAAAGGCAACGGGCTAACTGAAAACCAAAAGGGGTCATGTGGCTCATTAAACTTTGGCCAACAATTTTTTTGCGCCCCACCACCAACAAAGACAAACAAAAAGTTTAACACTAAATATTTTGCGACCCTACGGAAAAAAAATGTATATATATATATTCGCACTATATACTTACATAAAGTAAGTAGCGATTCATGCGGATGAGCACGGGCGTGAGGCATAAAATTATGGCACACATACGGCCCATTAAATGTTAGACAAATGTGAAGGGCAACGTCTAGGGGTAAGAGGGCTCGGGCAGGTGGCTGCAGCAAGAGAAAAACAAACAATTTGAGCTAAAATAAATAGCCATAAGTGCAGAAAAGTAATTATCGGAAATCAATATGTTAAAAAAAAAAACAAGTGTTTACAAATCAATCTTGCCACTCAAGGTGACATAAAGCAGGATTGTGCTGCATTAAAATTAAATGTAGTTGACAAAAGTCAAATTGTTATCGAAAATAAATTGCTGTTTATAAACCAACCTAACGACACTGCATTGGCAGGAAACATTTGCTGGCTGCAATGAACTTTGCCATGCACATGAGAAAATGCGCGTAAGCTATTGCATTTATAGCAATTATACTGCGGCCATACTGTCTTAAGCTTGACGACGCAGCATTGACAGCAACTTCTACCATTTGCCATGAGCTCTGCTATGAAGTTATTAAGCTTTGTACAATTATATCGATTAGCTATGGCCCCATCGCCGTAAGCTTAACGATCAATTGAGATCAATATCTACTATTTGCCATTTGCTATGAGCTTTGCAATGAACTTTACCATCATCATGAGAAAACTAAATAATAACAAATATTTTTGTTAATAGTTTTATTTCGTGTGATTAAACAACAACAGTTTCAACAAGTGCTAAGTGCTGGACTCTAGCCTAGTAGCCCCAGTGTGAGCCAAAGCCATCGAAGCTAACATGGGCCACACCAATGGCGGGCGAGTACTTCACATAGGCAGTGGGAGCAGCAGCTGGTGCCGCATAGGCGACAGCCGGAGCAGCATAGGTCTTGGCAATGACAGGCGAATGAGCAGCATAGGTCACAGCCGGAGCAGCATACGAGACGGTCTTGGCCAGGACGGGAGCTGGAGCAGCATAGGTGACAGCTGGAGCAGCATAAACGGACTTCGTGACCACTGCAGCAGGTGCGCTATAGACCGTCTTGGGCGTGTACACATTATTGGTGGTGCGTGAGTCCACCTTGCTGACGCTGGAGTAGGGCGTGACCACGTTCTTCGAGTAGGTGGACACAGTGCCGCCGAACGAGCGCACCACATTCTGCTGCGTGGTGCCCACTGCATCGTAATGGGGCTGAGCCACATAGGTGGCTGGCGCCGGCGCCAGGAAGCCAGCACTGGTCGCGCCGAGCAGAGCGCAGAAGGACAATAGGACGTACTTGAAAGCCATGTTGGTTAGCTGCAACTGGAAATGTTACTGATGCTTAACTGGGCCAGCGGCGCAGCTTAAATAGCCAAAATCAAAATGTTTGGCCAAATTTCACGGTCACAATGGCCTCAAATTTGTGACAGACCGACTTAGGCCTAAGCCCCCACCCAGCCCCAGCAACAAGCAAACCAAACAGAAACTGGTTCAATGGGTCGGCAAATGACGGTGCGCATGCCAAAAGTAACTCAATGGAGGAGTTCGAGTAGCTAGCTGTGAATTTCGAGCAGCTGCCCGTCGCGTACGAAAAAGTGAATTATTTTGAATACTATCAGCAGGTCATAAATTTTCCAGAAAACAACAGTGGGCAAAAACTTTTATTGCGTTCGCGTATTTTTCCATTAAATTGAGTTCAAGTCAAGCAGCAAATATGACCCCGCGCCTCGGAAAATTCAAGGACTCTTCCAGCTTGTGTCAACTTTTTCCTTTCTCATTTTTTTCGGGGTTGTTTTTTTTTTTGCACTTTTTGTTGTTGTTTATGATTTTTGTACTTTCGTGCAAGTTTTTCAAAATGAATATCCCTGCTGCTGCTGCTGTGGCTCACGGGGCGCATGATGAATATTTATTGAAATTACCAAAGTTGCCGCTTGCCTCAAATTGAATTGTGTTGCCAACTTGGGATAGCTGCACGCCCACTTACCGCCCCCGGCCCACGCTGGCTGTCTTAGTTTTATGTTTTTTTTTTGGCAAATTGTTATTAATATTACACGTGTGCCATTGAGTCGCTCTCTAAACCTAATTACGACGTTTAATTTATGGCCACAAATTGGCTTTCAAATAATTTGCCACACACTCGACAGACAGACAATCGGCTAACGAAATCCGCATCTCTCATTGTGGGCAGGTTCCCAATTAACCAAAATGCCGTTTGGCACGCGTCAGTTGCGTATAAAAGCCGCAACATTTTGGCCAAATCAACAACAGTCGCAGCTCAGTCAGCCAGCCGATAACAGTTTCAGTTTCCACACCCAGTATCTATCGCTTACCATGGCCTTCCGTTACGTCATCCTCGCCCTGTGCGCCCTGTTGGCCTCTGCCCAAGCTGGCCTGCTGACCAGCCATGTGGCTGTGGCTAATCCTTCCGTGGATGCTGTGGCCTCCACGCAGCACAATGTGGTGCGCTCCTTCGCCGGCACCGTCTCCAGCTACTCCAAGGCTGTGGATACGCCCTACTCCAGCGTGCGTAAGTCGGACACACGCATCCAAAACAATGTCTACACGCCGGCTATTGCCAAGACAACTTATGCGGCGCCACTATACACTCAGGCCACGCCCATTGTGCAGAAGAGCGTGTATGCTGCTCAAGCTCCCGTCCTGGCCAAGACCGTCTCGTATGCTGCTCCAGCTCCCGTCCTGGCAAAGACCGTCTCGTATGCCGCTCCAGCTGTCAGCTATGCTGCTCCCGTCAAGACCGTCTCGTATGCTGCTCCGGCTGTCAGCTATGCTGCTCCCGTCAAGACTGTCTACGCTGCTCCTGCTCCTGTTGTGACCAAGACCGTGTACGCTGCACCCGCTCCCGTCGTTGCCAAGACCATCTACTCTGCTGCTCCCGTGTATGCCAAGTCGTATGCCGCACCTGCTGTTAGCTATGCCGCTCCACTGGCCACCACCAATGTGAACCATGGTCCATCTGCCACCACCTACAGCCACAATGCCCCAGCCCTAGGCGTCTCCAGCTACGGCAGCTCCCAGACGGTGCACTATTCGCCCGCGGAGAGCGTCTCGCACATGAGCTTCGATGGCTTCGGCACCCACTGGGGTTTCTAGGCGCACGACTCGCAAATTAGTAAAGCCGCTTGTTAATGGTGCACGTTGTTAATAAAAAAAAACCCACAAATTTTTGTTGCAAGTAAAAATTGGCAAAGCTTCCGTTTCGAGGTTGGGCCTGAAACCAGCGCAGGCTAAGCAAAATGAAGCCTAACAAGCAATAAACGCGCAATTGTCCAAAAGTACTCAATGAATTATATCAGAAAAAAATTGGAGCTAGAGCCGGTTTCTGCGACGTCATCTTGGGCTCTGTGGGCGGCCTTCGTTGCTCGTTAAGCGGCTTTCTGATAACTTGTGACGGGGGCGTGTCGGCTCTGTTCGGCTCGAGTCTGTTTGCGCATTATATTATTTGCCATTAATTGGATTTAATATTTTTGCACACCTCCAGCTCTATTGGCTGCCCTGTTGATCCATGGAATTGAAATCGCAATCAAAATCAGCCTCATTGCCATTCAAATGTGGCCGGATGTACACACAATTGCGACCCGGTGTGCTGTGTGTTTTTTGCACTTGTTATAATTAGTCTCGGTTAATTATCGGCTGTTTCGGCTGATATAACAGCATTAACAATATCTGTAATACATTTATTTTGCCAGTGCATGGCCCGATTTCAAATTTGACATTAAAGCCAACTACTCGTGGCTTGCTAATGGACAGAGCTCTATTGAAAAAACAAACACATGAATTTTGGCCTATTCAGTCCAATTCAATAAGGGTTAATGCTCTGCGCGCGATCTTGAAGTTGCCTAGAAACAAAAGACAAGGTTTGCCCATGTTTCTACTTGAATATGCACAATATGAGCGTAATTGTTCATTTCATATTTTATTACTTATCCTATTTATGACTAACAAAATAATAATTTCTTCATATCAATAGTCAATATTTATAGCTTTGATTTTCCTCAATTTAAAACTCAATCCTTTTGTTAATATTTGACCTATAGATTAATTCTAATATTTAAGTTTATAAAAATACAAATTTTCTTTCTAGAGTTCATGAGGAACTGCGTTTCGGCCAAGGCGTAATGTCTAGATTTTTGAATTTCGAATTTCTCAAATATCTCGAGTCTGCAGCGAGGCTAATTTATGAAAGTGCTTAGTCATGCTCTCAGGTGTATAGATGACACTCATAAATAGCTCGTACTCTTAAAATTGAGAATGCGTCTGTCCAATCATCTAATTGAAAAGTGATTAAAAAGTGATTGTGGCACACTTTATTTAAGGCTTGATGTGACATTGATTTCAGGCAATTCCCTGGCTAATGCGGACATAAACAATCAAATTAAATGAAGATATGCATTAAAAATCTGGAAAGGGAAACACTCACACACTTTTCTTTGGCAAATTAGCGCGATTGTTGTGAGTGTGTGTGGGAGTGTGTGTGTGTGTGAGAGGGTTTATATGAGCTGAGATTGCGCATACGCTATGTGGGCCAGAAATCACACACTCTTGTGTCACATTGTTGTTGTTGTCTGTCTGCCTTGACAATTAGTCAATAATTTATTTCAATTTCATTTGGCATGCCAAGCACACACACACACACACACACACACACACACACACACGAACAAACACACACAGAAAGAGAACTGGCCTAAGTGCAGTTTAATTACATTTGCATTTGGCTTGTGCTTGTGCTTGTCGCTTTGGTTTTTGCACAAACTGCTTGCGCATGCAGCTGAGCACAAACAATTGCTGCAATCCAATTTACGTAAGCGAATTTTCATGATTTAAATAACATAACATTATGGTTTATTGTGCTTATCCGAGAGAGAGACAGAGAGAGAAGGAGAGGGGTCTGGAGTGAGAAAGTGAAAAACTGCAATTCCCACACCAAGCTCAACATTCTGCAGGGCCAGCTGGCTGTTGTCTGGCGTCTGTACAGCTATGTCCTGGTATAATTAAATTATGAAAGGACATAAGACGCATAATAAGTCATAAATCAAATTTACCTATCCCACGGGTATCCACCGAAACGGGAGGCTGGCAGCCAGACAGCAAACCTTGGTGCCAGACAGACTTACAATATTGTCGCCTCGACTCAACTTTGTGGCCCTAATTTGATGGACATTATGACGACTCTGTCTCGGCAAACAATTAGACAATTGATGCATCTCTGTGGCTATTTGGCCAATGCCATTTTCTATTTGTTTCGGACATGGACACATCACAAACGTGAAAAGGGCCGACCCCAAATGGCCCCAACAGAACAGGACAGCTGTGACTGTGACTCTGACTGCAACTGCGAATGCATTTTATGTTGTTCACGTCATGGCCAGACGCTGTTTCGAGTGTGCAATTGAAAAATTTCTGCAACAGCAAATGTAAATTTTGTGTGCAGCAAGCGGCGTTGCCAGAGTGTTGCAATATGCCAGCGTTGCAGTACTTCTGTTTTTGCTGTTTCCCCCTGTTGCCCAACAATGGCCTGGCTCAATTCAACCATTGACAATTACACGAAATTGCATTTACACCGAGCTCTCAATTTTGACACTGGATTTTGGAAAGTTCTCAAATTATATCCAAAGAATATTATAGAAAAATTATGGGAATTCGAAATTTTGAACCATGGCTACATAAAAAACTGCGTCTAGGATTTTGACTGAATTTCGACTAGAAAATACGTATTCAGATTTGAATGCCAGATTAATCTGGAGGGAAAACCATGAGCAAAAATCCAAACCTCGTACAAATCGGAGCAGTTTTGACTGAATTATGGGTCTGGGATTTTGACCCATGTCTTCATAAGAAACTGGGTCTAAGATTTTGACATGAATTTCGACTAAAAAATACGTATTCAGATGTGAATACCAGATTAATCTGGAGGGATAACCATGAGCAGAAATCCAAACCTCGTACAAATCGGAGCAGTTTTGACCGAATTATGGGTCTGGGAAATTTTGACCCATGTCTTCATAAGAAACTGGGTCTAAGATTTTGACATGAATTTCGACCAAAAAATACGTATTCAGATTTGAATACCAGATTAATCTGGAGGGATAACCATGAGAAAAAATCCAAACCTCGTACAAATCGGAGCAGTTTTGACCGAATTATGGGGATTCGAAATTTTGACCCATGTCTTCATAAGAAACTGGGTCTAAGATTTTGACATGAATTTCGACCAAAAAATACGTATTCAGATTTATATGCTAGATTAATCTGGAGGGAAAACCATGAGCAAAAATCCAAACCTCGTACAAATCGGAGCAGTTTTGACCGAATTATGGGTCTGGGAAATTTTGACCCATGTCTTCATAAGAAACTGGGTCTAAGATTTTGACATGAATTTCGACCAAAAAATACGTATTCAGATTTGAATGCCAGATTAATCTGGAGGGAAAACCATGAGCAAAAATCCAAACCTCGTACAAATCGGAGCAGTTTTGACCGAATTATGGCTCTGGGAAATTTTGACCCATGTCTACATAAGAAAGAAACTGGGTCTAACATTTTGACATGAAATTCGACCTCAAAACACGTATTCAGATTTGAATGCCAGATTAATCTGGAGGGAAAACCATGAGCAAAAATCCAAACCTCGTACAAATCGGAGCAGTTTTGACCGAATTATGGGTCTGGGAAATTTTGACCCTTGTCTTCATAAGAAACTGGGTCTAAGATTTTGACATGAATTTCGACTAAAAAATACGTATTCAGATTTGAATGCCAGATTAATCTGGAGGGAAAACCATGAGCAAAAATCCAAACCTCGTACAAATCGGAGCAGTTTTGACCGAATTATGTCTCTTTGAAATTTTGACCCATGTCCACATAAGAAACTGGCTCTAAGATTTTGACATGAATTTCGACTAAAAAATACGTATTCAGATTTGAATTCTAGATTAATCTGGGGGGAAAACCATGAGAAAAAATCCCAACCTCGTACAAATCGGAGCAGTTTTGACCGAATTATGGGTCTGGGAAATTTTGACCCTTGTCTTCATAAGAAACTGGGTCTAAGATTTTGACATGAATTTCGACTAAAAAATACGTATTCAGATTTGAATGCCAGATTAATCTGGAGGGAAAACCATGAGCAAAAATCCAAACCTCGTACAAATCGGAGCAGTTTTGGCCGAATTATGGCTCTGGGAAATTTTGCCCCATGTCCACATAAGAAACTGGCTCTAAGATTTTGACATGAATTTCGACTAAAAAATACGTATTCAGATTTGAATTCTAGATTAATCTGGGGGGAAAACCATGAGAAAAAATCCAAACCTCGTACAAATCGGAGCAGTTTTGACCGAATTATGGGTCTGGGAAATTTTGACCCATGTCTTCATAAGAAACTGGGTCTAAGTTTTTGACATGAATTTCGACTAAAAAATACGTATTCAGATTTGAATGCCAGATTAATCTGGAGGGAAAACCATGAGCAAAAATCCAAACCTCGTACAAATCGGAGCAGTTTTGACCGAATTATGGGTCTGGGAAATTTTGACCCATGTCTTCATAAGAAACTGGGTCTAAGATTTTGACATGAATTTCGACCAAAAAATACGTATTCAGATTTGAATACCAGATTAATCTGGAGGGATAACCATGAGAAAAAATCCAAACCTCGTACAAATCGGAGCAGTTTTGACCGAATTATGGGGATTCGAAATTTTGACCCATGTCTTCATAAGAAACTGGGTCGAAGATTTTGACATGAATTTCGACCAAAAAATACGTATTCAGATTTGAATGCTAGATTAATCTGGGGGGAAAACCATTAGAAAAAATCCAAACCTCGTACAAATCGGAGCAGTTTTGACCGAATTATGGGTCTGGGAAATTTTGACCCATGTCTACATAAGAAACTGGGTCTAAGATTTTGACATGAATTTCGACCAAAAAATACGTATTCAGATTTGAATGCCAGATTAATCTGGGGGGAAAACCATAAGCAAAAATCAAAACCTCGTACAAATCGGAGCAGTTTTGACCGAATTATGGGTCTGGGAAATTTTGACCCATGTCCACATAAGAAACTGGGTCTAAGATTTTGACATGATTTTCGACCAAAAATTACGTATTCAGATTTGAATTCTAGATTAATCTGGAGGGAAAACCATGAGCAAAAATCCAAACCTCGTACAAATCGGAGCAGTTTTGACCGAATTATGGGGATTCGAAATTTAGACCCATGTCCACATAAGAAACTGGGTCTAAGATTTTGACATGAATTTCGACCAAAAAATACGTATTCAGATTTGAATGCCAGATTAATCTGGAGGGAAAACCATGAGCATAAATCCAAACCTCGTACAAATCGGAGCAGTTTTGACCGAATTATGGGTCTGGGAAATTTTGATCCATGTCTTCATAAGAAACTGGGTCTAAGTTTCTGACATGAATTACGACCAAAAAATACGTATTCAGATTTGAATGCCAGATTAATCTGGGGGGAAAATCATGAGAAAAAATCCAAACCTCGTACAAATCGGAGCAGTTTTGACCGAATTATGGGGATTCGAAATTTTGACCCATGTCTTCATAAGAAACTGGGTCTAAGATTTTGACATGAATTTCGACTAAAAAATACGTATTCAGATTTGAATGCCAGATTAATCTCGAGGGAAAACCATGAGCAAAAATCCAAACCTCATAAAAATCGGAGCAGTTTTGGCGAATTATGGGTCTGGGAAATTATGAAAACCATAAGCAAAAATCCAAAACTCGTAAAAATCTGTTGGATTTTTACCAAGAATGTGAAATTTTGACCCGTGTCTATAGAATATTTGAGGGTACAATTTTTACATGAATTTTGAGGACGAAAAATTTTTTCAGCCAAGCCATGAGAATAGGATGAGATTTGACCAAGTGATGGGGGTGGGAAATTTTGACTTATATCTATATAAGATATTTTCACATGAATCTTTATCAAAAAAAATATTACCAGATTAAAAGTTCAAGCTATGAACAACATAATTTATACAAGTTCGGGCTCAAATGGCCATCAAGGATTTGTCTATAGACGAGGAATTATATTATCATTGCTTTGCCCGAAAATTTGGTGAATTTGCTGGGCGAAATTGTTTGCTGGAACTCACTTAATTCCTAAGCTCTTGCAGTTTAAACAAATTTGAGCATGTTTAACGCAAATGCCAGACGAACTGAAGCAGAAGTAGAAGTGAAAAGAAATGAAAACCCAAGCAACTCAGACGACTCCCATCGCGATATGTCATAGCCGCAGACAAAGGGCAGCCCAAGCTGGTGGATGAGGGCGGCGATAGGGCGGGGCATGGTTAGAGCAAATGCACAAATGCTAAAGATTCTCGTACTAACTGATACGGATCATTGCTTGGCCCGCGGGCTGCTGTTGCCTGTGTAGATTAAAATTTAATTTTTAATTTAAAGACTGTGTTTGCGTTTTATTTGCGCCTTGTTGTGGCATAAATAAATGAGCGAGCGGTCCCGTCTGTTGATTTATCATTATTCCATGCAAATTCAACGCTCACCTTAAGCTTTCAGCTGCGCATCTACGGCAAGGTTGGCCATTTGGCCCGCTTTATCTGCCACTGCCACAGCCACTGCCACGTGCAATGTCAATGCCAAGCGATTAACATTCAATTAGCTTTTGGCTTCATCAATGATTTTATCGCAGCCATTAGAAGAGGGTTGGGGCTGGGGCTGGGGCTGGGGCTGTGGCTGTTCGCTGTTGCTGTGGCTGGTTTGAGTGTAAATTGTGGCAAATTATCATTAGCCTGTTGTTGTTGTTGTTCTGTGTGTGTGTTTGTGTGCCTTGACAACGACATCTTTACATCTTCAAAAGGTTTTTATGACATCAACAGCTGTCGTTGACAGATTATTGTGGCGATTATTTTAGCAGACAGCGTTTGGGCCACACACACACACACTCTTACACACAAAGCAAAAGGACCGACAAGAACCAACAGGCAAGGACTTTGGGACAGACAGGCACAGGGCCAGGCAATGCTACCCTGGCCAGGGGCTGGGCTCTGCTATTGACTTCAGCCCAGGGCCTCAGCCTGCCCGAAAGGAGTCGGCGGTGCCTTCTCCTGCTTTGTGCGTTCAACTGGAAATTGTCAACAATGTTGTCATTGTTGTTGCTGGCGCTTCGGCCGCTGCTGGTGTTGCACATGTGGCCCGTCCACTTGAAACATCTTGTGGGTTAGCACTTGTAAATAACTATGTTTCACTTGGAATACTTGTCATTTATGTTATACACTTTTCTACTACATACACAAGCTGTATTTGATATCCTGGTGATGTGCATGCGTTCGCAGCTCTGTCTTAAATCTTTGGCTGCTATTTGTCTGACCATCCTTTTGGTAAGCGCTGAAGAAGTCTTTTGCCCTCTGATGGCCGTCAGATTAATTTTCATATAGCAATTTTGCTGCATAGAAATCGGTTCGACTTTCGACAATGGACTATTAGATAGTCGGAAGAGGACTGTGCTGCTGATATCAAACCTGGCTACGTCAATATTTATGATCGCAATCGCATGTTTGGGATTCTTTATCGTGTTTAGTCAAGCAACATTTCTGCTGCTGTTGGTAAAGTTTAAGAAACATAATCAATAAACTAAGTTTGATATTAGCTTAAAAGCAAGCTTAATTGTGTCCATCAATTCAATAAATGTTAATGCAAGCTTTATCGAGGTTACGGGCTTAAAGCTTTCTCTATATTACGAGCTTAAAGCGAGCTGAATGAAGTTCATTAAATTCAATAAACATATTTTTAACTATTCTTAAAGTTAAATTAAAATTTTCATTTAAGTTGTGCCAATTTAGCTTAAAGCCACCTCAAAATTACGAGCTGAAAGCGAACGTAATTGTAATTATTAAATTCAGTAAATTAAGCTTAAAGCTCTCTCATATTACAACAATGATTTATTAAATTATCAACTATCCTCACAGCTGGCAATTGGCATTGGCTTATTCATATTTATCAAATGCAATATTTGGATACTTTATGTGACAATTGGAAACTCTACGGAAACATACCCGAACTATCATATTTGGTTTGCATCAACGATCTTGTGGGCCGTAAGTGTAACAAAGCAAAGTTCAGGTGTGAGTGCAACAACATTTGTTTTCCCTTTTATAGGTATTGAGTCTGATTGTACTCGTAAGATTGTTGATAGTACGAAAGCGTAGCTAAGAGTTTTGTGTCACATTCAACAAACATATTTATTAGAGTCCATACCAATGTGCTTTCTGGGAATAGTTTTACTTAAGATCCATACAATCATTATATCTATCATTATTCTGGTAAGTTTGTTGTCCAGTTCGGCTGAAGTACAAAACTGACTTTTTAAACCGCTTCTGGTTAGGTATGCAATACTATGGATATCGTCAAGTCCATTGAAAATGTGGGCAGTTACCGAGGTTATGCAAAGAGTGCTTTCATCATATCCATGGTGCTGAACAGTTTTCTAACTTTCGCAATTAGTTTCGGCAGTTATGGGGTTATTCGCCATAAGAAATTGCCGCTGAAGCTGGTAAGCGGAGGTCATGTTAACTGATGTAAGCAAATTTTTAAAAAAAATCTTATTGATCCCACCCAGTTTTTATTCACATTGCTGGCCTTCTTCATCTGCAAGCTGATGCTTGCGGAAATAGTCGATGGCATCAATGGGAAAATTTATGAACTCCTAACAAGTCCCTGGTATCATCTGGACACGGCTCTTTCGGTAGATAGACTTCACAATTATCACAAGCATATATCAATATTTTCATTGGTTTTCCCCTGACATTTCAGCTGCTATGTTTAATTTTTGTGTCAGCCCTTTATTTGCGATTAACGGATGAAGCAGATTTGAGGTAAAGCCATTCTTATCCATTTACATGTAATCGATTCTTTTTATGATTATTTATTATACTATAGTAATAAATTTAAATTAATAATTTTGACTTTAACTTTAAAGGTCGCAAGCTATCTGCCTGTCAGATTTGGACTCAACCAATGGCTGCAGACATTTGGAAAGCTTTACAGCATAAGGATTAAGTTACCCGAAACTTTAATGGGATTTTAAAAGCTGTCGCACGCTTTCGAAACTGTTGCTTGACACACAGTAGTCCGTTCAAAATTGTTGCTTAACGTCAAAAAGTTGAAAATCTTACTTAATATTGATAATCGAAGTGTTTGAAAAAATTATAGAAATGTGTTTGTGCCAATTCAAAGTAGTCAAGCTTATAACCATAAGCCTAACCGTATGCCTTGCAGTAAGTATTATTAAAGTAAAAGATTAGCACTCTGCATAATTTTACTCTGACCAGATATGTAATACTGTAGACCTGACTACGGCCCTATTAACCCTATGCGAAGCCACGGAAAATCTCAAGTTTGTGCTGTTCTCATCGATTGTGCTAAACAGTTTAGTTTATTTTGCAATTTTCATCGGCATCAATGGATCTCTTCAGAATAATTCATTAAAGCTAAAGCAGGTAAGTCTTGAATATTTAAAACCTTACAGTTGCATAAACATGTCAATCCATTTCAGTTTTTAGCTGCAATTTTGATCTTCTTCTTCGCCAAAATAGGACTGTCGAAATTAATTGACGACATAAATAAATCTGATATCGAACTGGTTATTCAGATATGGTATCAGCTTAACGTGGTGATCTCCGTAAGTAATTGTATTCCACATACGATTTCTATCTATTGATATTCGTTAATTGTAGGGCTTGTGTTTTGTATTCGCAATGCCATTTTGCCTTAAGTTGTTGGAGAAAGAGAATTCACCCGAAATTGCAGTGCAAAGTGTGATAAGTACGTTTTAAAATTGTTTCTAAATTTAAATGTGTGTATTTTATTGTTATAAAACTTTCGTGAATACCAAGAAAAGACTAGGGATATGGTCATATAGTTGGGCCTGGTTGGCTTTTGGGCTTCAGTTCACGGTTCGAATCAATTGAACGTGCTTTAGGTTTCAAAATTTTGTAAACTTTCTCCTTTTCCATCAAATTGCAATAATTTCCTTTGATGAGATATATATTTGGTCATTGATTTTTATTATAAGTTATTTGAAACAAATTATAAAATTATAAATGCGCGCCTGTTCTACTGAAAATATTGCCATACATATATATTTTCATAAACAAAAGGCGCGCAACATTTGAGCTCTTTCCAAAATTGGCATATGCCAAATATGGTTAGATATACGCAATGGTTGAGGGCCAAGTTATAAATGGTTTGGATCTCGTATTTTCAAAAATTATATGCTACTGGTTGGGCTTCGATTTGGCTAGATATAGCTTAAAGTTTGGTTCATAGTAAAATCAATATAGGCATGCCGCTCAGGGTCTTTGGGCTGACTGGAATCTGTTTGGCTTAAAAGGGAAACACGTTTTATTTTAAATATAAATATAATATTTTGTTTTATTTCTCAAATGATTTAAGCCAAACTTACCTTCAGAATTGTCTTAATGGCTAAGATTTTCGATGCGGCGTTTCAGATAGCGAAATGCGCGCCAATCTGTGTGGCTTGTGTGGGTTATCAAATTACATGCGGCATTATGGACACAACACGCCCGCAGGATAACAACAGCAGCAGAGGCAGCAGCAGCAGCAGCAGAAGCCGTGGCAGCCAATAAAGATGACGATGACAAGATAAACGAAAGTTTGTGGCAAGTGGCAAGTGGCAAGTGGCAAGCGGCAGGAGGCAAACGGGCCAATTGTCGCTGGTTGTGTCTGCTTTAAATGAAATTTAACGATGCAGAGAAATAATGGCACTTTGCATTTTAAAACACTTTAACGACTGCCGCCGAGGCGGTCAAAAGTCAGCAAACGGATGCGACATTGACATTCAATTTGGACGCGAACGCTGATGTCCTGCTGCTGCTGCTGCTGCTGCTCTGAACTCTGAACCCTGATGCTCATTATACGCATTTCCATTTGACACTTTTATTGGCCCAGTCTGATATTTCACACTCTCCTGCGGCGGGGATGGTGATAGAGGCGGGGAATGCGTAAATGCTGGGCAACATTTATGCGGGTCATTTTATAGCCAGAAACGGATGCGGATGCGGATGCGGTTACGGATATATCAACCGATAAGGCCATTAAATTGATGCAGCACTTTTGCTGGCCATAAACTCAGCTAGCGCCAGCAGCACTCAGCCAATTACGCAAATAAAAGAAAATGTTACCAGCTCGCGCGTCTACTTATGTGGAAAACGTGTCAAAGTGCTGAAAAATGCAACAGCTTTTCGAGCAGTGTGCGGCGGCAACTGAGTGGCTCATTAGGCATCAAGCTGGCCCCAAGGTGTTGCGCGTAAATTGTGTGGAAAAACGTGTCCCCCCCCGCCCCCAACACACACACCACACCGCTGGCTATACACTTTAAAAAAAATTTAAGCTTGCCATGCATATAAATAGATAAATGACCGAAATGTCTGTATGAGTCCACTTTCACAAACGCTTAATTAAAGCCGTGTGCCGTGGGCGATTTTCGTCATTGTGCTCAGCGTATGGGTCTGGGCCAGTGTGGAAATTCCAATTGTCGCCGAGCAGCAGCTGGCCCCCCCAAAAACAGCATGTTGTCGCTGTCCTTGCCAGCGTCCAGGCGCATATCCTGCGGCTGATTAAAATCTATTAGAGTCAAAGAGATGTAAGACACCGAACTGTCGGTGGTTGGGCGGTTGGGCGGCTGGGTGGCTGGGTGGCTCAGTTCTTGCCTGACTTGGGCATGTAAATGTCGACGCAATTGAAATGCATGCGGCGGAAACTTCCAACTAGCTATAACTTAAGTACACAATGAGCCTGGCTCGTTTCTTATTAGGTTTGACAAGAGTAAAGCGAAGAAATGGGTTTTCCTATTTTCAATTGTTTTTCATTTCTGTAACGATGTTTTCTTAAAATGCATTTAGTGTTATCCCACTTGAATCGGTATTTATGATGTAATAAGGTTTGAACTAGCAGCTATTTATGATGTAATAAGGTTTGAACCAGCATCTGGAAGTGAATAGTCACGAATGTAGCACATGCCGGGAGTTGGTTCTAGAGCATAGCCTGTCAATCAAATGCTTTTCTTTTCTTCTCTTTATATAATTATCTTACTCTTCTTCTACATGCTGCATGAATGTAGCCCGTTAATTCTTAGGCGTTGCCACCTGGGTAGAATTGCGTATGCTCGGGACGTTTTGTAAAATTTCCCCAAGGCATTTGTTTTTATCATAATTATTGCATTTTCTTATCATAAATACTAACATATTAATTTTTTAAATAATATAATATTTCTACATCTCTCCAGAGTTTAGTGAGCTGAACTAAAGTTCAGTTCCTGATCACATGTACCCCATGTTAGGGTATTCAAGCTCTGTTTGTTGTTGTTGCCATTGCGGCACTGCCAAAAGTCGCACACAAAAACTTTCAGCGCAAAGTTTTTAACGGAAATTGTGCAGCTGTTTTGTGTGCCGACGACACGGATGTGGCCGGGGGCAGGGGCAGTAGGGCTGGGGGCGTGCCATTGCCAGCACTTGTTGGCTGCCCCCAAACATACACATAGTCCATAGATATTTAGTTGTAGACAGCAAGTGTCTTGCAAATTTCTTGAAATTTTAATTCAATGGCAAGGCTAAAAGAAGAGCTCGTTACATTTACATATGTAAGCATGTCCTTACCTATAATGTGTAAATGTATGTGTGTGTATCTATAAGTATCTATCGTTATCAAGCGCATGCCAACATGTGCCGCCTCTCAATATGAATTTTCATGATTAAAGCGCGTGTCGCTCGGCATTTTATCGCCCAAAGACAGCGCCATTCCGGCAATGTGAAACGTCGCCGGTTCAGTACGGCTCGGTTCGGTTCGATGAGTATATTCTTATAAATTATCGTGCATGGTAACAAATGTGTCCACACAGCCATTCACACGCATGCATAATAAAGTGATTTTAAAGGGCACTTTTCTCCGACTGCGTAAAATTTCCATTTGCGGGGGGCACTCAACTTTATTGGAATCGAAAGTTGGCCCAGTGTATGTGTGTGTCTTTCGAGCACATGTGCTCTAATGTTACTTGGCTTTAACAATTCATTAAAATTGCATACAAATGCCGCTGCAATAGCCGCATCAAGAACGAAAGAAAGCGCATTAGCGAGCGCAGCCAAGTAATCCACTTTGTTATTAACTGCTATTTACAAATGTGCAGCCAGTGTCAAGTAAATAATACAATAACAAAATATATTAAATGCAGCGCGAAAGCGTCAAGTCATAAACTGCTCATCAGTCTTGGGGCTGCAGCTGGTGGGGTTGTTGGTGGAAGTTGACACAACCCTAGCCCCACTCTTGGCTGTAATTATGCGCATCACTGTTGCAAAAACTTTACTATCATTCGCAGTCTCATTCCCATCCTCATCCTTATCCTTGTTCACATCCTCATGCTCGTTCTCGTTCGCGTTGTCATTGTCTCGACGCGCAGGAAGTGCCAAAGCGCCGCGAGCCAAAGCAGCCGGCGTGGTCCTGGCCTCGTTCTGGCTGGGCTTGGGTGCTGTTGGATGTTTCTGGTTGCTTGTCGCCTTTTGACGCTGATAATGCAATTTCCGCGCTGCCCGTAATTTACTGTTATGCAATGTTTCATTTTATTTCACCCCTCGCCAGCTGAGGCAATTTTTTAAAGCGCCTTTGAGACAATCAACGGCTAGTTGTTGCTATTTATCTACATAAAGTTAATTGAAAACATTCAAATGGATCTCGTCCTGGAGCCGCCTCCTGCTGCTGCTGCGTGATGTGTCAACATCTTTCGCATGCCGCATAATCCGGAATATGCTGCCCGTCCGGCTGCATGTCCACTTTTATGTCCTTCTCATTCGTAGTCTTTATTACAAATTGGTTTTCTGCACTCGCTCGCATGTTTCGTGCGCAATTTGCAGCCCTCTGCCAAATGAAAGCAAAAAATGTAACCACTCAACAAATGTACAAAACGAGCAACGCCAAAAAAAAAAAAAAAAACTGGTAAATTACAGCCGGGCAACTCACGTGGTAAATCCAGGAACGAAAAAACAAAAATAATAAAAAAAAGTTCCATGCATTGTCGAGAAACGTGTTCACTTTGCACGTTAACGAACTGAAATCGAAAGTTTTGGCTGCGGTCAACGTTGCCCTATCTGTCCGCCTGTCCCCCTGTCCACCTGTCCACCTGTCCACCAATCCGTACCGTGTGCCGCCCACAGTTGCAGACTGTCAGATTGAATGGTTTATGTGTGACACCTTTGACCGGTCGGGTCGAGTTGCCGGCAATATAAATTAAGCCCCCGACTGCAAGCTGAACAGCTTTAAGCTATATGCGAAAGATTCCCTTGGCTGAGCTACAAGCCAGGCTGAGCGTCAGCTGGGCTGGGATTTAATGATTCGCTTAAGTCGCAGACTGGACTTATGTAATACACTTTCCATATGGAATATAACATTCCTTAAAGATAACCGCATCAAGTTTGATTGAAGAGAAATAGCTCCAGGCTTTAACTTTGTTCTTTTAGTATTCAGTTTTCTCATTTTCAGTTTCTTCTTCTTCATCGTATATTCAAGCGAATAATTGTTAAGGTAAAATTATATATAATTCCTTCGCAGGATTAATCATGTTATATTTTATGATAAATTTTATTTAACTTTTTTTTTTTTTCTTTGGTTCGTCTGAGCATAAAATGTAATGTTTCGGTTCAGCTGCAATTTCCAACCCCATTTCTGGTTTGCTTTTATTTGCCCAGCAAAAGTCACGTGGCATTCATAATTCTTAAAACGACGCCATCTGAAATTATGTAGCAATGCTAAGTGCACCCAAACAGCGACAGCTGCCCCAACGTACTAAATTCCCCTCCCATCCCTCCTAGGGATTGTACGTGACCAGCATT